ACCAGTAACGACCGAGACAAGCTTGATAGGCCATTAGAAAGGAAGGGATCTAATCTTAATCCTCCCAAATTTTCATAAAAGGATCATGCATTAATGAGATATCCAATAACGGGAATAGCGACATCAAAAGTCCGAGCTCAGGGAAAAGACAATGTTTGCGTAGGATCCATAATTAAAACATACAACGAAATTTACACGGAAATTATTAAAAATGGGGAACTATAGTTATGCAAATTTTCAGCCCAAACGGTCCAGCCGTTGTGAAGTTATACCCATGACGGGAATATAGAAATCCGCATCATGTGTAATGACACATGAGGGTGGCGATGTGCAGGGAACCGGCCGTCGGAACCGAGATCCGCACTTCGGCAGATCGTGAAGACCAATTTCCATCCAAATAAGGAAGACCCCGGTCAAAACAAAGCATGGAAAGTGCAAAACAACCTTAGATCATGAGGGAAAAATCTGAAATAAATCACAGAAGCCCATATAAAAGAAATAAACACCCGCGCATATCATAAATCCCGAACAATTAAACGAAAACGGTGCCCGCATACGAACGACTATGGGAACGATGCACATGATTACCGAATGTGCACGCAAACCTTTGCTAACTCAACGAATACCAGGAAATAGGACACAACCTTAGTACCATTGGAAAGGTGGGAATAAATGAAAATTTATGATACCAAGAACGTGAGAAACCATCCAGAAATGAATGAGATACAAGGACATGAAGTTAGAAACCTGAAAACGCGCGGGAAGACAGCTTCAAGAGGTCCAGAGTCCTAAATAAAATACATAAAAATATGATATCTTCAAGGACGACCTACTATAACAACGAACAATACATATGGAGGATTAGGATGTGATAACACAAAGGGGAATCAGGGAATATGAACAAAATTCACGAAAACCACTAAACTATGACGGACCATGGCAGGAATTTTAGGGAACGATGTTCTAATAAAGTGGAGAGCTATAACACATTTGTTTGAGTAATTCTTGACTACTAGCAACTTTTTCTTTCAGTTTTAAACCTGAATAATCCACTCATTTACCATTTCAGTCTCATTTTAACTAAATGTCACTAAATAAAATTGGAATAAATCAGCTGAAGGTCTCAGCACAGCTGTACCCATAGTAATGCGAAGTTTGAATTCAGAATCATCGAGTCATAGCAAATTTAATGGTATATATATAGAATTTGAAATAGGTAACTGCGACAAATACAGGGCAGCCAAGTTCTAATTAACCATTAAAATAGCTTAGGCAAGGGAGGACAATAAGGATTCTAGGTGCAGTCTGTCCACAGTAGAACCGCAGTTCAGTGCAGCAAAAGCGCAGTAGAACTATAGCGTGAAAATTTCATTTTTTATTCAGTTTGAGAAAAATACACTGTAAATAAATCCTGTAAATAGAAGGTAGAGCGTGAAAAAGGAAGGTGACCCAAGGAGTATAAAAGGGAGACCCTTTCTGCGACTTTTCGCCCCCCTTAGAGAAGTAAGAAAATAGAGTATTATTTTTCTCAAGCATTTCTGGTTTTCACTCCAGTGCGAAAAAGTGATATACAGTTGAGATTGCCACTGTAGTAAAAGGCAGCAATTAAGGAGAGAAATATTAAGTAGATATTTCAACAGGAGAGCTGGTTAACACTCCAGATTTCAAAGTGTAAACACAAAACAGTTATCTTGCTACTGTTAAAACAAGCAATAAAATAAGACAAAAATAAAACAAACTCAAGGGACACTCCAGACACAATCCAAATCCATTAACTGAATAGAATCTTTGAAACTTCACCAAGTAGAAGATTAAAATCAAGTTTAAATCCAAATTAAACAACGCTACACAGAATTACACCTAGACAAATTAATAAATTTCAATAAAGAAACAGCTCCGCAGGGCTCGGTTTATCTGTAAGTCAATTCCCAGGAACTTTAAAACTAACCCATAAAAATAGAATTAGCCAAAACACTCGGATTGGTACTATATTTACAATAAATAACACTAGTACACTTCCCCATCCTAACTAAAGAACCAGGGAACAGCTTGGTGGTGGTCTCGTTTGAACCTCCCAACTGACCTTCCTTCGTTCTCTCCTTCAGCGCTCCTGGCATAAGTCGCTGAGGCCAAAGCCCTCCGCCATGGAGACACTCCTTCATCTCAACCTGGTCTCTGATACTTCCCAGCTTTCACATGCAGTTGGCTTACTTAATGATACCAATAGTGATCAATCATCAAGGTATGGTTGGCTCCCATACATATCGAAGCCTGCTGACCTCCAAACACAGCCCTGAAGAGGAAGAGGAAGAGCTGAGAAAGAGAGCTCCATCTGTGATATGCCTTGATTCTGATTCTGAAAGTGAGTTCTCTGTCTAGAGTGTTAGTGTTGAACATCACATTTGAGCAGCAGGATGAAGATATGGATGCAGATTGGACAGCTGCCAGGAGGAGTCACCCACAGTATTTATGACTTATCTGTGCAAATCTACATGTCCTCTTAACCACCTTTCATAGACTCTGCCCTTTGGTGATGCTTGATTCCAATTCTGCAGGTGAGAGTGCCCTCTACAGTCTGAATGATTCCAATTGAGCTTTGGGTCCAACAGATGAAGAGGGGGACATTGATGATGCACTGAGGCATGGAAATGAATTGAGTGAAGATGGGTTTTAAGGGCATGTGATGTTAGAAGTAAGGTGGTTTATGCTAGCGATGTTCTCCCTAAATGCCCTACTCCTCCCTAGACCCGCTACAGAGTAGCAGGATTTCCCACATTTATCACAACCCCCAACTTCCACCTGAACATCATTATGCTAGTTTGAAAGAGGGGATTTATCTCTATTTTTCCACCAAGTCTCCCACTGAACAATGCAGTATTGGTGAAGATGCAAAAGCGTTCGACACAATGTCGAATGGCATGTGCCCTTGATGGCACTCAGACAACCAGAAAGCTGTATCTTGAGATCCACCAGGCCAAATAAGATGAGATACATATCAACAAAAAGCTGGAGACAAGGGAGATCCAATGATGACGATGGAGTGGTGTCTCAGATACTAGTTGGGGACTATGACAGGTTTTCTTCAATTATCATATAGTTTCAGCCACTTCCCCACTCATGGCTCATACAGTTCTCCAATAAACTGTTGCAATGTTTTTCACTTTTCAACTCATGACCTTATAGCACAATGAAAATGTATTTTAAATTTTCAAAAGAATATTCAAAACATGGGAAAGTATCTCATCTAGAGATCTGTCAATTACGTAAGCAATATTCCCATTTTTGGTAATGTTATGTAATTTACAAACTACCCAGGTCATTTCAATGGTTTATTGGAGTACCCCCAGGCTGAACAGAAAATAGGAATATCATGTGACATGTCATGTGATATTGTTTACTGTACACACTAGTAAACAACATGACAATAAATACTGAAGGACTTCACATGATAAGGCCCCAAATCCAAAATGCATCCTTTAGCCACTTCAAAAGTTGAACAAATCCTTTCCCTCATTGATTCTGGCCATAGTGCTTGCCAAATCTCAGTTCTTACTGGCCACCATTACTCCACTGTCACTCGCCTATGGTCTAAACACCGTTCTGATGTTCCCAAGCCCAGTGGTGGTCGTCCATCCAAGCTTTCTGACACTGATATCCGCCATGCTTGTCATCTCATCAACTCTGGGAAGGCTGACAACTCATCCCAAGTCACCCGAATACTCCAAAACATCAATGACACATCCCTCTCCATTGAGACTGTATGTAAAGGGCTCAAAAAAGCTGGTTGGAAAGCAGTGGTGAAGAAAAAAAGGCCTATGCTCACCAGGTGTCACAAGAGGGACAGGATGGATTTTGCCCTCAGCCACAAGGAGTGGACTCTAGAGGACTGGAAGAGAGTTATATGGTCTGATGAGACTAAGGTGAATCGTCTGGGCTCAGATGGGAGGAAATGGGTGTGGAAGCGGGTGGGGGAGCCTCTCACTGACAGGTTGGTGCAAGGCACAAAAAAGTTTGGTGGAGGTTCCATCATGGTATGGGGTTGTATGACCTGGGATGGGGTTGGAATGGCATGCAAGATTGATGGGAAGATGGATGGGGACCTGTACTGCCAAATTCTGGATGAGGAACTACAGGAAACCATATCATATTATCACAAAAACCCAGCCCATGTCCTCTTCCAACAGGACAATGACCCCAAACACACCAGCAAAAAGGCCCAAAACTGGTTCAATAACCACTGTATTGAGGTCATGAAGTGGCCCTCACAGTCTCCAGACCTCAATCCAATCGAGCATCTCTGGAATCATGTGAAGAGGAAGCTTGGGGAATATGAAGAACCTCCAAGTAGTGTTCAGGAGCTGTGGGATCGCTTCCAGGAGGAGTGGGATAGGATAGATCCAAGTGTTTGCCAGAATCTGATTGAGAGTATGCCTAGGAGGATTGAGGCAGTGGTTAGAGCAAAAGGTGGCTATACAAAGTATTAATTAATGCCATTTTCCCTTCCCAAAAATGTACTCCAATAAACCGTTGCAATGACCTGGGTGGTTTGTAAATTACATAACATTACCAAAAATAGACATATTGCTTACATAATTGGTACATATTTAAATGGGATACTATTACATGTTTCGAATATTTTTTTGAAATTTTAGAATACATTATCATCATGCTATAAGGTCATGAAGTCAAAAGTGCAAAACATTGCAACGGTTTATTGGAGAACTGTATATATACAGGACAGAGGGGAAATAATTTAGTTATCGCAGCAAGATGAGTCTTGGACTTGAGTGCATTACTGCTAAAAATGAAATATCAGGGAAAGTGCAACAAGCAAAGACCCTGGAAGGTGGCCCTGAATCACGTGCAGCTATTGCCACTTCTGGGGGAACCCTGAGTTTGAATTGAATCTAGAATATTACAGAGAAATAAATGTGAATCCACTGAACTTTAGGCCACAACATCAAAATGTTCCCAGTCCCCTCTTTTTAAACTATGCCTCCATGGGAGCCACAGTGGTTGACATCATCCTCAGGCTTTGGAATGACAGCCCAAGTGGTTCTAATGGCAAGGCACCATTCACTGTCCAGAAGTTCTTGATCGCTATAGGTTTTGAGGATGCCAAAGCTTGGACCAGTGGTGTAGACTGGGATTTTGATTTCTGGGCACTAGAGCATCCACTAATTAGGTTCTCTGAAGATCTGGAAAAGAATGCAAGAGACTGGGACAATATAAGGGCATTTGTGGTTGGCCTTTCCCAGGCTACAGGCAAGGTGAAGGGGAAGAAGCACAAGGGCAAGGGACAGGAAGTGGAAGAGCCTCAAACACTGACAGCCATGAAGGCGTTTGTCAAACAGTGGGAAAATGATGGATACACCCAGGGTCGCAATGCCTTTTGTAATCTCATCGCTGTTAAATGGTATAAAGAGAATAGCATCATGGATCTGTTGGTGGAGGAAACCAAAAGAGCTGATTGCTATCCTTTCTCTGTGTTGATGGAAGAGCCAGATCTTCTTAGCTGTGACTCCATTCAACTACTGCCAACCTTGGAGCTGGAGGTCAGCCAGATTGCAGCTGAGATCGTGTTGGGGATGGCAGCGTTTAGACAAGGCCCTCGACTGGATATCTGGACTGAGTTCCAGGTGGGAATCCAGTTGCTGGTCTCAAACTTCTTCTGGTACAACCATTGCCACAAGAGGGTTAAGACCAAGATGAGGGCTTTTAACAAGGCAAAAGAGGAGATGGACACTGTTCTTACTGGCATGTTTTCTCTCCTTCCAGTCGTGGACACTAGTACTTACCCCCTAAAAGCCCTTCAGAATGATCATTCTGGATCAGCCCAGGAAGCAATGGGCCCTCTTTGAATGGGATACTTAAAATATGCCACTATCTCCGAACAGTTCAAGAAATGACACCATCATTCTTGCCCATCAGAACACAGTTGAGGCCCACCTCCACCATCTAAAGGTGATGCTTGAACAGCCATTGCCTTCCATTGAATCAGGAAAAGGAAAAGCGGTAGATCGTACACCCCTTTGCCATTCTGGTGTTGATTTCTGCTCTGATTTGGACATTTCCAGGGTTTTCAAAGTTAACGCTGAAGGAGAGAACGAAGGAAGGTCAGTTGGGAGGTTCAAATGAGACCACCACCAAGCTGTTCCCTGGTTCTTTAGTTAGGATGGGGAAGTGTACTAGTAATATTTGTCGTAATTATAGTACCAATCTGAGTGTTTTGGCTAATTCTATTTTATGGGTTAGTCTAAAAGTTTCTGAGAATTGACTTACAGATAAACCAAGCCCTGCAGAGCTGTTCCTCTATTGTAATTTCTCAATTTGTCTGGGTGTAATTCTGTGTAGAGTTGTTTAATTTGGATTTTAACTTGAATTAAATCTTCTACTTGGTGAAGTTTCAAAGATTCTACTCAGTTAATGGAGTTAGATTGTGTCTGAAGTGTCCCTTGAGTCTATTTTATTTTTGTCTTATTTTATTGCTTGTTTTAACAGTAGCAAAATAACTGTTTTGTGTTTACACTTTAAAATCTGGAGTGTTAACCAGCTCTCCTGTTGAAATATTTACTTAATATTTCTCTCCCTAATTGCTGCCTTTTACTACAGTGGCAATCTTAACTGTATATCACTTTTTCACGCTGGAGTGACAACCAGAAATGCTTGAGAAAAATAATACTCTATTTTCTTACTTCTCTGAGGGGGCGAAAGGTCGCAGAAAGGGTCTCCCTTTTATACTGCTTGGGTTGCCTTCCTTTTTCATGCTGTACCTCATATTTACAGGATTTATTTACAGTGTATTTTCCTCAAACTGAATAAAAAATGAAATTTTCACACTAAAGTTCTACTGCGCTCTGCTGCGCTGAACTGTGGCTCTACTGCAGTCAGACTGTGCCTAGAATCCTTATTGTCCTTCCTCGCCTAAGCTATTGGTTAATTAGAACTTGACTGCGCTGCATTTGTTGCAGTTTTCTATTTCAAATTCCTCATATTTATCATTAAGTTTGCTATGACTCGGTCATTCTGAATTCAAACTTCGCATTACTATGCATACAGCTGCGCTGAGACCTTCAGCTGATTTATTCTATTTTTATCCAGTAACATTTAGTTGAAATGAGACTTGAAATGATAAATGAGTGAATTATTCAGGTTTAGAACTGAAAGAAAAAGTTGCTAGTAGTCAAGAATTGTTCAAACGAATGTATTATAGCTCTCCACTTTATTGGTATATTGTTCCCTAAAATTCCCACCATGGTCCGTCATAGTTTAGTGGATTTCGTGGATTTCGTCCATCCCCCCGATTCCCCTTTGTATTATTGCATCCTAGTCCTCCATATGTATTGTTCGTTGTTATAGTAGGTCGTCCTCGAAGATATCATATTTTTATGTATTTTATTTGGGGCTCTGGACCTCTAGAAGCTGTCTTCCCATGCATTTTCAGGTTTCTAACTTCATGTCCTTGTATCTCATTCATTTCTGAATGGTTTTTCACGTTCTCGGTATCATAAATTTTCATTTATTCCCACCTTTCCAATGGTACTAAAGTTGTATTCTATTTCTTGGTATTCGTCGAGTTAGCAAAAGTTCGTGCACACATTCGGTAATCATGTGCATCGTTCCCATAGTCATTTGTATGCGGGTGCCGTTTCTGTTTAATTGTTCGGGATTTATGGTATGCTTAGGTGTTTGTATCCTTTATACGGGCTTCCATGATTTATTTCAGATTTTTCCCTCATGATCTAAGGTTGTTTTGTACTTTCCATGCTTTGTTTTGACCGGGGTCTTCCTTATTTGGATGGAAATTGGTCTTTGCGATCTGCTGAAGTTCAGATCTTGGTTCTGACAGCCGGTTCCCTTTGCATTGCCACCCTCATGTGTCTTTAAACATGATGTGGATTTCTATATTCCCATCCTTGGTATAACTTCACAATGGCTGGACTGTTTGGGCTGAAACTATAGTTGCCTATTTATCATAATTTCCGTGTATATTTCGTTGTGTGTTTTAAATATGGATCCTACGTAAACGTTGTCTTTTCCCTGAGCCATGACTTTTGATGTTGCTCTTCCCATTATTGAATATCTCCTTGATGTGTGATCCTTTTATTATGAGAATTTGGGTGGATTAAGATTAGATCCCTTCCTTTCTAATGGGCTATCAAGCTCGTCTTGGTTGTTACTGCTTGTTCTTTGCGCTTGCCTTTTAAACGTTGTCCTCATTTTCCGAGAGTTTTGTTCATATCTCCGTCGCTTATGGGTAGTTTTCCCTGTAATTACTTTCATTGGGTCCGTTTGGGAGACATCTACATTTCCTATTATAAACACGACTTTGAATTTTGCATTAGTTCCTAAGGAATCCTTGTTCCGTGGTACTTCCAACCTCAGCTACATGTGCGGGTGTGGGAAATGTCATATCCATACAATCCCGACCTCTGCTCCGGGCTCCTGGAACTCCGAACCTGACTTCCGGAGCCCTACTTCCCTTCCATCACCTTCTCCTTGCCGACTCCCAAGAGGTTATCCCACCTCCGGCTCCAACACCACCTTTGGTCCGACTCCGGAACATTCCGGGTCCGACCCCAACCTCGACACCTTCCAGACGAGTATGCAACACCTATGCTCCGGACTCCGGACCTCCGCTCCGGAATCCTGTTTGCGTCTCTGTCTCCGGAACCTCCGGTCTTAGCTCCGACCTCGGACTTTGACCCCACCTCCGCTTATACCCATTGTATTGGTTAGCTCATTCCATTTAATTACGTTTGCCAATATTCCGGAGTTTAACTTCCAAGTTCGGACTTTCCGGACTTACTCCGGACCTTGCAACTATTGCATTGTCCATTTCAATTCCGCTATTCTCCCTCATTCCTATTTGGGCTGCTGCTTCCTTCTATTCAGTCAGCTAGCCATTCCCGACTCCCATCCTCCTTCCTTCCTCCTTGGGCCTTGGCCCTTCATTCCTCCTTTGGGAAACACCATTGAGTCAAACACTTGACCCTCGGTGTCGTTCCTCTTTCCATCTCCCTTTGTCTCCTTTTGTCCTACTTTGATTCCGAACCCCTCCTTATATACAATGTACCTAGTAACTTGTAACCTCAGTCCGAAATCGACTTGAATTCCCCCCAAGAGACTTTCCCTCTGCTAGATCCGAAATTAGGGACCCCCAGGACAACCAGCAATGGCACAGCGCTCCGCCTGAGTCGCTGAAGCCAAGGTCCTTCCATGCTAAGTCTCCGATTCCACTCCGGAGTCGTCCGAATCCGCTAGTTCTAACAGGAAAGTAGTTTCCATGGAGGTTCTCTGGTTGTTTTTATAGTCAAATCTTGGTCGATTGTCCTAATTCTTTGTTTAATATTTGCTATAAATTCCCCCGAGAACTCCGTCTTGTTGATGCTAAGCTTGAAGTATTTTTACTAATTTTCTTTCTTCCAATTTATCGTATGTAGTCGTAATAATTCGTAAAAATTCGTTAAAATTCAGGTTCTTCTATTTTATGATATCTCCTTGTTGTATGGGGTTTTGTGATTTATCTGGCATATTTCCATAATGGGTTTCCATAGTGTGACCGTTATTTCTCCTACACCGCTCAACTTGTTGAAGCTGAAGGCCACTCACACGCATGCTTTAGCAAAGGCCAAGCCCCCTTGCATGAGGCCTGGGAACAGCAGTCAGGTGGATGGAGCCAGAATGCCACAGAATGAGGTGACAGGAGCACAGGATGATGAGGTGGTACCAGAGACAGTGTCACCAAGTAACAGCTCACCTTTATCAAGCGGGTCCTTATCACTGATACTCCCTTCAAAAATAGAGCCGCTCAACCTGCCCACATTCTCACTGGAAGTACGCTCCAGATCCCAACCAGAACGCAAGCCGCAACTCACTGACATCCCGCAAAATGTCTTCATGGAATGAACTAGCAAAATGGTGTAGGAGAAATAACAGTCACTCTATGAAAACTCATTATGGAAATATGTCAGATAAATCATGAAAAACCCCATATGCCAAGTAGATATCAGAAAATAGAAGAACCTGAATTTTAACGAATTTTAATGAATTATTATGACTACATACAATAAATTGAAAGAAAGAAAATTAGTAAAAATACTTCAAGCTTAGCATCAACAAGACGGAGTTCTCGGGGGAATTTATAGCAAATATTAAACAAAGAATTAGGACAATCGACCAAGATTTGACTATAAAAACAACCAGAGAACCTCCACGGAAACTACTTTCCCATGCCTGCACATGTAGCCGAGGTTGGAAGTACCACGGAACAAGGATTCCTTAGGAACTAATGCAAAATTCAAAGTCGTGTTTATAATAGGGAATGTATATGTCTCCCAAACGGACCCAATGAAAGTAATTACAGGGAAAACTACCCATAGACGACGGAGATATGAACAAAACTCTCGGAAAATGAGGACAACATTTAAAAGGAAAGTGCGAAGAACAAGCAGTAACGACCGAGACGAGCTTGATAGCCCATTAGAAAGGAAGGGATCTAATCTTAATCCACCCAAATTCTCATAATAAAAGGATCACACATCAAGGAGATATTCATTAACGGGATGAGCGACATCAAAGTCATGGCTCAGGGAAGAGATGATGTTTACGTAGGATCCATATTTAAAACACATAACAAGATTTACATGGAAAATATCATAAATTGGAAACTATCGTTATGCAAAGTTTCAGCCCAAATGGTCCAGCCGTTGTGAAGTTACACCAACGACGGGAATATAGAAATCCGCATCATGCTACACATGAGGGTGGCAATGCAAAGGGAACCGGCCATCGGAACCGAGATCCACACTTCAGCAGATCGTGAAGACCAATTTCTGTCCAAATAAGGAAGACCCCAGTCAAAACAAAGCACAGAAAGTACAAAAACACCTTTGATCATGAGGGAAAAATCTGAAATAAATCATGGAAGCCCATATTGAGGATACAAACACCTGCACATACAATAAATTCCGAACAATTAAACAGAAACGGTGCCTGCATACAAACGAGTACGGGAACAACACACATGAATACCGAGAGATAGAATACAACTTTAGTACCATTGGAAAGGTGGGAATAAATGAAAATTTATGATGCCGAGAACGTGAAAAACCATTCAGAAATGAATGAGATACAAGGACATGAAGTTAGAAACCTGAAAACGCATGGGAAGACAGCTTCTAGAGGTCCCGAGCCCCAAATAAAATACATAAAAATATGAAATCTTTGAGGACGACCTATTATAACAACGAACAATACATATGAAGGATTAGGATGCAACAATACAAATGGGAATCAAGGGAGATGGACGAAATCCATGAAATCCACTAAACTATGACGGACCATGGCAGGAATTTTAGGGAACGATATACATACTAATAAAGCAGAGAGCTATAACACATTTGTTTAATCAATTCTTGACTACTGTCAGGGCACACCCGCCTGACCTGGCCCCACCCGGCCCCACTTCACCCGATACCCCGCCACCCAGTCTTCTCTTACCTCCTCCCCCCTTCCTCTTTCTTTCTTTCTCCATTCCATTCCCTCTTCATTTATTTCACTTTCTCTTTATTTTCTCGTTATTCTACATGGACGACCTTTCCTTGTATCAATGTACCATTGACCCACCCAGAGCGTGCTCACGACACGCCCAGCCCGGGTGCCTCGGGCGACCCCCGCTACGTCCAGCTTGCACGTTCACAGCGGATGCCCTCGGGATCCCCCATGGGGACACCCAGGTGACTACGGCTGTATGCGAGGATGACGTGGCACCCGTCATGTGACCTAAGCCGCATGTATATAAACATACCTGAAGTGGGAACTGAAGAAGTAGCCTTCTTCTCACCCTTTTCCACTTCAGGTAAGTAACATAGTATTCCCTTTTAATAATAATAACACCCTTTTCCACTTCAGTCTGAGTGGCCAGGGACTGTCTCCTGAGCTGGGCCCGCCAGCACGCATGCCCGCTCTACACCCTGCGAGACTTCTAGTGTTGGGCGTCTCACCCAGGCCTCCTCTACCCCGGACGCGTCCCTGACAACTACTAGCAACTTTTTCTTTTGGTTCTAAACCTGAATAATTCACTCATTTATCATTTCAAGTCTCATTTCAGCTGAATGTCACTGGATAAAAATAGAATAGATCAGCTGAAGGTCTCAGCACAGCTGTACACACAGTAATGTGAAGTGTGAATTCAGAATCACCAAGTCATAGCAGACTTAATGGTAAATAAGAGGAATTTGAAATAGAAAACTGTGACAAATGCAGCACAGTCAAGTTCTAATTAAACCATTAAAATAGCTTAGGTGAGGAAAGACAATAAGGATTCTAGGTGCAGTCTGACCACAGTAGAGCCGCAGTTCAGTGCAGCTAAAACTATAGCATGAAAAATTCATTTTTATTCAGTTTGAGGAAAATACACTGTAAATAAATCCTGTAAATACGAGGTAGAGCGTGAAAAAGGAAGGCAACCCAAGCAGTATAACAGGGAGACCCTTTCTGCAACTTTTCGCCCCCTCAGAGAAGTAAGACAATAGAGTATTATTTTTCTCAAGCATTTCTGGTTATCACTCCAGTGTGAAAAAGTGATATACAGTTAAGATTTCCACTGTAGTAAAAGGCAGCAAATAGGGAGAGGAACATTAATTAAATATTTCAACAGGAGAGCTGGTTAACACTCCAGATTTCAAAGTGTAAACACAAAACAGTTATTTTGCTACTGTTAAAACAAGCAACAAAAAGAAGATAAAAATAAGACAAGGTCAAGGGACACTTGAGACACGATCTAAACCCATTAACTGAGTAGAATCTTTGAAAATTCGCCAAGTAGAAGATTTAATTCAAGTTAAAATCCAAATTAAACGATCCTACACAAAATTACACCCAGATAAATTGAGAAATTACAATAGAGGAACAGCTCCACAGGGCTTTGTTTATCTGTAAGTCAATTCTCGGAGACTTTTAGACTAACCCATTAAATAGAATTAGCCAAAACACTCGGATTGGTACTATAATTACAACAAATTTTACTAGTACACTTCCCCATCCTAACTAAAGAACCAGGGAACAGCTTGGTGGTGGTCTCGTTTGAACCTCCCAACTGACCTTCCTTTGTTCTCTCCTTCAACGGTTCCAGAATCGCATACCTCAATGGTTATCCCTCCTATTAGGTTGATTCATCCAACCCCCAACAGCACTCCAGCTAGAGGGCAATCAATGTCAGGATCAAATAATAATGGGATTACATATCTCACTGTGAATGAAGGGCCAACACCCCAGGCACACTTGGAGATGCCATCTTCCACAACAAGCATGGGTGGTGAGCCTGCCACCTTTGACACCTTGTTCAAATGTGCATGACACTCGGTGTGGCGAGCTGCACTGAAAATTCTGCCAGCAGTTCATTTGGAGGCACTATTGAAAGAAAATGTCAAATGCTTGGTGGAGATCGACATCATTAAACTGCACATCGACAAGAAGGTACCACCTCCTGAAACCTTGGACACGGCTCAGCACTGGGAAATCATTAGGGATGTTGGAGATGAGCTTCGTGGTAAAGGTGCCGATGTAGGAAGACTTGCTGGGGACATGGCAAAATTGCTTGATACCGACGAAGTTAGTGACGAGAAAGATGAGGTTTTGAACATGTGGATCCAGATGTTGCCTGGTTGAAGGATAGCCCAACATTACGCTAATCGCTAAAAGCGTGAATAGATATTATTTATGGTGGAGGTATCGCCAGGTCATTATTTAACTCATAGCCGCACAACTTGTAAGCTTGACAAATGTAAGATGGATACTGTAAATGTGAACACAAATACAGAGCGGTCCGAGTTACAGAGAGGGCGATACACCAGCCCAAGAGTCGCAATACGAGTTACCACATGCTGACGTCCGTATAAGTCCATTTCACACTGCAGTAAATAAGAACATATGCTCTGCATAGTGAGAATCAAGAACAGGGTGCAGGTGCTACAAATGGTAGACCATGTATGAAACATGTCATATCCATACATACTCAATCCCGAACCGACTCCCGGACCTCCATCTTCACCACCTCCGGAGTCCTACCCTACCGCTGTCTGTTCCGATATTCACCTTCGGACCTGACACCACACCACCCCTCACCCCTCATGCCACCTCCACCCTCCCGTCCTTCTCCCACCCTATCTCCGTTCGCTCCGATACTCATCTCGGACCAAACATCACTCCTCTCACTCCTCCTACTCCTCCTCATGACACCTCCACCCTTCCATCACTCTCCTACCCTCCTCCCATCTGCTCCGACACTCACCTTCGGACCTGACACCTTTCCTCTCCTCTCTCCTCTCTCTTCCCTCTGACTCTCTTCCGCCAGCCCTCCACCAAGTTACAACCTCTCACCGCTGCCCCGTACCCCGTACTCGGACACTGCTTGTACCTTCGCTCCAAGACTCCATCATAGTTCCTACCTCAGACTCTGACTCCACCTCAGCTTTAGTCCATTGCATTGGTGACCTCATACTACATAAACACCATTGCCAATATTCCTCGGACTTTCAACCCTGCCTCCGTAACCTCCGTAAGCTCCGCAACCTCCGAGCTCCATGGATCATCTTCGGCACTTTTGCTGCTTGTAATGTATCTTTCGCGTTTCCCCCTCATCCCTATTTAGACTGCTGCTTCTTCCCATTCTAGCCAGTTAGTCATCATCCCCACTTCCCCTCATCCTCCTGCCCCTCTGGGCCTTGCCCTCCTTACCTCCTTTCGGATGTACCACAGGTTCTGCCCTATGACCTTTGGTACTGCTCCGCTTCTGTCATCCCTTTGTTCCCATTCAGACACCTTTGTTCCGATTCAGACCCCCTTTGTTTCCTTGTGCCTTTGCCCTCTCCATTATATATATCAGCGCTTGTACATACTCGTTTTAGGCCTTTAGTCTAAAATCGACCTGAAATGCCCCCTAGAGACTTCCTGCTCACTGCCTATGAAATTAAGGACCAAAAGGACAAACAGCAATGGCACAGCGCTCCGCTTGAGTTGCTGAGGCCAAGGTCCCTCCTTGCTAAGTCTCCGGTTCCCCTCCAGAATCGTCTGCCCTTGCCCAGTTCTAACAAAACATATGAACAGCAGCCACAACCCCCTCCTTCATAATGTCACACGTCTCTCCAACTACAACCCCCTGTGAGGTCTCAGTGGGTAGCTCAGCACACAGAGCCATAAGTGATACAAAGATGTGTATTTTATGGTGTGTGTAAGCAGTTAACCGGAAGTTTCCGCTTACCCATGTGACTATATGTATCTTGTAATTACATATGGCTCAGGGTTCGGGGCTATTTCCCTGACACCCCTGTAGTTCCTCTGTGGTCAGCTTGTTTAGGGGAGCAGGTGGATTCTCCACCACTTTGAGTGTAAAGAGGCCAGTTTTTGGCTGCCAATGAATGGACTCAAACTTCTCTTGAGATGGGTTCCCTGACCTCTTCAGCATCTTGTTTGTTTGTAGTTCAATGCCCTCAAAAAGTTGCCTTGCAGAACCGGCAATGAAACAAATGACACCAGGATAGATAGAACCCTCTGAGGGGTAGATTTGTTGATGGAATGCGTGTTTGAAGTGGCAAAGGTGACAAAGGATAAGGCAGAAACGAAGGAGAGCAAAACGTTCCTCTTTCCTCAACTCAAAGGGCCTGCACAAGCACATCTTTTCGAGCATGTCTTGTTTGAAGGTCACCTCAACCACTTTGAACGGTAAATGTCCTTGGCTGGACATTGTCATCATAATCCGGAAGTGATTGTATTTTGGGAGTACATCCGGGTCCACAGCTCCATTGTCTCAGTTGGCAAGGTGTCTGGGCCTTGAGGGATTAGCGGGGCGGGTGCACGGTCCAAGAGAGTCTGGATCATGGTTTGGTTGAGCCCACGAGAAAAGACCTCACCAACAAATCCAAGCTCATATACCCCAATGTATCTGCTGGGTGTATAGTCATGCATGGCAATATCTCTGATAGTCGCACCTGGGAATCTTGCTTGGAGGTATCGCCTGAGACTGTGAGCACTGTCTTGTGTCTTGCAGAGTAGGTTGAGACAGTGTGTCGACCCATCCCAGCCATCCACTTTCTGATTCACTGTTGGGGCACAGACTTCACGATAGGCAAGAACCCCCCACTGCTTCACTGCATCCAGATCACCACATAGTTCCAGTACCGGGCCTGACAGGCATATGGATATACCTAGCCAGGTGTTGGTGGTGGCAGGGCCAGTGGCAGATGACAAGGGAACACTGATAACAGGCACCGTTTGGATGGATAATGGAAGGGGGTGTTGAGGGTGGTAGTACAAGAAAGGGATTTTGACAAATGCTGCCATGAGTGGAGCATGTGTGCCAATGGGGAATGGGATTCTCATGTTCTTCCATTTCCTGCCTTCCAAGGCTGTACTACAATGCAGACCCTCTTCATATTTCAACCCAAGCCAGACTCCCTGAAGGATGTTCTTCATCATGCTGGAGAAGTGTTCAAAGGAAGTAGGATCTCCATTGGGGGCAAGTGCTTGGAGGCATTGCTCCATGACAAAGTGCTGGGCAGAGTGATTGTCATTCAGGGCTGCAAACAAGAATTGCTGTGGACGTGTAGTGGTTGCCATAACAACAAAGTCAAATCCTACAGCGATGTCCCCCTTCACAGCGCCTTTTGGATCCTTGGACCCTCCAAAAGTGTAATCCTGCATCATGAAATCATCAGGTGTCATGACATGTCATGACAATTGAATTGAATCAGACATTTTTTACATTGACAATTTTGGATTTCATGACAAATTGTCATGAACTGTCATGTGCTGACTGTTAAGGATGAATGGGCAGAGTTGTCCGGAAGCGGAGAAGGGACTCAGGAGTGGAGGGACCTTGGCCTCAGCGACTCAAGTGGAGCGCTGTGCCACTGCTTGTTGTCTAAGGTGGTCCTTAACTTCAGGTTAGCAGGGGGAGTCTCTTTGGGGGACAATCCAGTCATCATGGTCATCGATTTCAGACTGGGGATACAGGAACTATGTACAGAGTGTATATATAACAATACAGGAGTGGAGTCAGAGAACAAAGGGAACTGGAAGGAGGACAAAGGGAGACTGGATGAGGGGACAACCCCAAGGGCCAAGGGTTGGAACTCTATGGTGCTTCCCAAAAGGGCAAGGCCAAGAGGGGAAGGAAGCAGCTGTCTAAATAAGGAAGAGGCAACAAGAGGATTAAATGGCCCCATACAGTAGAGACTGCAGGGTCCGGAGTCGGAAGTCAAAGTCCGGAATATTGGCTAGACATAATAAATGAAATGTAATAAGGGATAAGACGGAGGAGGAGGTCAAAGTCTGGAGGCGGAGACATGACTGGAGTTCTGGAGGTGGAGGTGTGATGGGGTTCCAGTACAGGAGTCTGGAGCCAGAGGTATGGAGCATCGCAAACTCTGGTCTGGAAGGTACGAGGTTGGGATCGGACCCGGAGTAATCTGGAGTCAGACCAGAGGTAATGTTGGACGTTGTGTTGGAGCCAGAGGTAGAGTGGGCTCTCAACAACCAACAGGGGGAGGAGGAGGTGGAGGATGTGGAGTTCTGGAGGAGGAGATGGAGGTCCAGAAACAGGAGTGGAGGTCCGGAGTTGTATGGATATGACACTGACAAGGTTCATGACTGCTGGTGACACAATATGACATGATGCCTCATGGAGGTTCATGGAGTGTCATGGAGTGTCATATGTTTATTTTGACCTTTCCCCATCATGTAAAATGCTATAACGTCCCATGATGTATCATGGACATTCATAATGCTCCATGAACATGTATGATGAGTCATCAGCATGCATGAATATGCATGAGATGTCACAAGCACTTATGAACTGTCATGTGACAGACTTTATTTGTGACAGCACTGACTGATCAACCTCCAACTCATGGACTTGTGTCAGCACTGCACTGAACTCCACTTTTCCTCCAGCCACCTTTGCTGCTTGGTGTCAGAAACAGTGTTTGAGGGTATTCATGGGAAGTGGAGCGGAGTATGGTGGTGTGAGTGATCACTTAGCTGATAGGTTACTCTGTTGCAAGGCATCAGGGGGTTGGGATGTTGGTTTCATGTCAGGGACGTGTCTGGGGTCAAGGGGGTCTGGGTATAGCACCCGGCGCTGAGGACCTCGTGGGGGGTAGATCAGGCGTGCGTACTGGCAGGCCCAATGTGGGACAGCTGTCCCTGGCCACTCAGACTGAAGTGGAAAAGGGAATTGTTATTGAAAGGGAAAACTACACTAACTTACCTGAAGTGGAAAAGGTGAGAAGAAGGTTACTTCTTCGGTTCCCACTTCAGGTACATTTATGTACATGTGGCTTGAGTCACATGACGGATGCCACGTCATCCTCGGAGACAACCACAGCCATCTGGGTGTCCCCGCAGGGGATCCTGAGGGCATCCGGTGCAGGCGCGCGTGCTGGGCACAGTGGGGAGCCGTCTGGGGAGTCTGGGTCAGGTGGGTCAATAGTACATTGATGCAAAGGAAAGTGGTCCGTGTAAATAGAAAGAATAAACAGGAGGGGAATGATGGGAAGAATGAAATAAAGAAAAGAGAAGGGAGAGAGAAGAAAGAAAGAAAGAGGAGGGAAGGAGGGAGGGGAAGGATGGGCAGCGGGGCAGCAGGTGAGGTGTGGCCAGGTGGACCTGGGCCCGGGTCAGGCAGGTGTGCCCTGACATTTCAATGACTCAGTGGGAGCATTGTGCTCTAGGCTATCCTGTATTTCAGGTGTACCAGAGGGAACCTTGTGGCAACATAGGCTCAAGTGAAGACAAAGTCAGAGGTGAACTATGGACAAGAGGACTTGGGGGGGTATTCTAGTCAACATTCAAACTGGGGTACATAGGTAGTAATCTACAATGCAATACGAAAGGGAGAACAGAAGAGGGGCCGGTCAGTCTGGCACCTGAATGGGAGGCAGAGCAGTGAATGCGACAAACTAAATGAGGGATGAGAACCAGGGAGCAGAGAGTGAGAGAATGAATGAGGGTGGAATGAACAATTAAACAAAGAGGCAAAGTAGGGAGGCAACCTGAGAGAACTGACAACCTGGGTACCAATATAGTAGTGGATCAAGTGTCAATATAGGGACAGATCAAAGGTGCCAATATTGGCCACTAAAGTAAGTTAAGCAAATGGGCAGGAACAGGACATGTGGGTGCTTGGCAATAAATGAATAGCATGTAGCCAAGTAATTAGGAAAGTTAGAGTGGTGATGGGAAGGGAGAAGGTGCTGATGTGGGACCATGGACAGGGTCAACTATTGGCACTGCTGAGTGACGAATTATGGAGGGGAAGTGGGAGAGTGGTAACAGATGGGCACCTTTGGCAGGGCCATGACACTTGGCAGCACACTATTCATTTCTTGCAAGTACCTAATACATTTATCTATTCATTCACTTAACTCACCAATATTGGCACTTGATCCACTTTATATTGGCACCTAGGTTGTCAGTCCCCTTCAGTTGTTCTTCCCACACCAATAACCCTCACCACTCATTTGTTTACTTATTCATTCTTCACTTCCCATTACCTGGGTTCTTGTCCTTGATTCAATTTAAGAATCCCCACTCATTTCTGCACTGGACTGACTGGCCCTTCCCATGATTTCTCTCCCTTGTAAATACTTTCAGGGACCTTAGTCTGAAATCAACTAGAGCAACCCCCCCTGTCTGGACAGAGTCTCAACTTCTGCAAAAAGGGGGCTCCTGTCAGAGACCAGATCTGGGATGAGAGATGACATCCCTGAAACAGAGGGCTTTGGCCTCAGCAACTTATCCCCGGAGCGCTGTGCCTAGTTACTGTCAGGGACAGCTCCGAAAGCGGCGAGGTCCCAGCGTGCAGGACTCAGTGGGATGAATACCGGCTATGTGTAGCAGCAATCCCATCGTGGGGTGAGTGTCCCCGACCACTTAGTCTGAAGTGGGAAGTTGAGAAGAAGGCTGCTTCTTCTGTTTCCACCCCAGGTGCTATTATATATATGCGGCTAGGGTCACGTGGAAGAAGCCATGTCATCTCCGCACACAGCCGCACCTCCCTGGGTGTCTCCGTGGGAGATCCCAGAGGTGGCCGCTCAGTAGGCAGGAGTGTGCATGGCGCATGTGGCGATCAGGGGGGCAGGGTTAGGTATGTAGTGGTACATGGAGAAAGGGAAATTGACCATAGAATAGAAATAGAGAGAAAGGGGGAAAATGGGAAAGGAGGAATGGGGAGTGATAGCGGGGGGAGCAGAGTAGTGCAGTACGGCGTGGGGTGCGGCGTGGGGTGCGGCGTGGGGTGCGGCGTGGGGTCAGGTGGGTGTGCCCTGACAGTTACATGTCCATGCCCTAATTTACCGACTGACAACAGGCACAAGAAGTACAGGAGGACATGTAGTTCTTGACGAAGGTATGGATGCCTGGCCAGGTATAATCATGACGGACTAGCTCCAGAGTCTGGTTTTGACCAAAGTGTCCAGAGAGCTGGTGGTCATGTTTGTCTCACAATACATGGAGACGAAGGTGGTTAGAGTCCAGAACGTAAATGCGGTTGTCCAGCCTTAACAGGCCTTCAGCATCAACAGACCAGCAGGAATTGGGGAGGTTGGGGGAGGCAAGATGAGAAGAGATTGTGGTGTCAGAGGAGAGGGATGATAGGATGTCTTGATGGAGAGCCTCTGTGTCAACAAGTATGGCTGCCCAGATTACTGTGGCAGCTAGGAACGTGGCTCATAAGGATGCAGTGAGCTGCTCTGAAGTGAAGACCGGTCCAAAGGGGGGAGGGTGGTAGTGAATGTGTGTGTGATGGAGGTTTGGGTTTTTGGGTCCTGGGGTGCTAGTGGGTCTGTTAGAGCCTCAACCAAACACTCACCTATGTCTCTCTTGGACGTCAAGGCTGAGGGTTATGAGAAAAGGGGTCTTGGATGTTAGCAACTAACTCAGGGGAGACGTTAGAGTTGTGGATGGCATCTTTGCCACTTGGATGTAACTTTTTTTTAGTCCTTCACGGGTCTATTCAGTACTAACTTGTTATGTACAAGCTATTATCTATTTTATATGAGTTGGAAATGGAATGAATGGAATGGGGGAATGTAACGGGCCGTTAGGCAACCGTAAATAAGGAATGTTTAATTGGGAACAAAGAAACAATAAAAGAAATATGAATGAATGGGGAAAATGTGACAACGGGTCCGAAATGGGAATTGTGAAAGTTAACTCCGCAACACTTCGCCACAGCGCCCGTCTATCCTCCCGTCAGCAATCTCCTTGTCTCCAGCTTTCCAACGAACCCTTATTCATCCCAATTGGTGCCGTACTTCCTGAGATATGGCCATTGACAGGTG